GACACACCGGCTTCTCCTGTGCCTGGGACTGTCCTCTCGGAAAATCTTAATAACTCTGCCCTTTGAAAGCCTGGCGTGTGAACGTTCACGCGTTGGCTTTCGTGGGCTGCTGAGGACCAGAAGTTCAGACCCCGCGCTCTGGCCACCGAGTCCTCCTGTCCCACCCATCCAAAGCGTGATTCCTCCTCAAAGCACGTTTCCACGTCGCGTTCCCTGGTTTTGGCGCTGTAGTGGGTGCTGCTGGCAGGTGTTCAGTCTGACTTCTCAGAAGTCCTGAATTCTAAACATGGGGCATACAAATCCCAGATTATTGCGTCCATGTGTTTGGTCGCATCTCCCCGAGATAAGATAAAAACACGGGTGCCCCGCCCCGCTTCGTCTCGCTGAGCTGGGAGATGGTGGGCTGTTCTTGCGTTCCTCGTGCCGCCCTCCTGCTGACTCCCTGGGAAGTGGTTTCCCCCGGACTAGCTGGCTTTCACTCCGGCGTGGATCTGAGTTTGGGTGTTTAGGGAAGCAGGCTTTTCTGTTCTAGGTGCTACTGATATTTTTTTTCCAGGGGGTATGAAGTACGACTAGAGCCTTGTCCGGATCAGAATGAGAGGAGTTGATCGGAGGTCATCTTAGTGGGCTTAATCTAATTATCACCTTCGCTATCTCCGGTCGAGGCAGCAGCAGTTCTTTAGCAGAGTACTTTGTTCCTGTTGGTTTCTGAGGTACGAGCCCTGACAAGGTCCGGCGAGAGACCTTTAACTCCTGTTTTAGAGGCCCATCATGTCGATCGCTGCACTCGTAGTTTCCATTGCCAGCTGTTGCATCTTGTAACACAGTGGCAAGAGGCTGGATTTGTTCCTTGCTCGCCACGGTGCACGCAGTGAGACACGGCTGCAATGGATGAGATGTTGTTCTTCCCTGCATTTTCCATAAAATGGGACTAATCCCGTGTAAACCAGCAAGACTGACAGGGGAAGGAGGATGGGAGTGGGGTAATCCAGGCCAGGAGGTAAGCACTGAGTGGACACCAACCTTCTAGCTGTTGTCTGGAATAAAATATTTGTCCGCTTTCTGTATCTTTTTCTCCTTAAAAAAAAAAAAAAAAAAACGAAAATGACTGTATGTCTAACTGTGGAGAAACGCATCGAGTTGTAGGCCATTTCGCCTGAAGCCAGGGGGACAGCCGTAGAAGCCTTACTCTGGCCAGGTTTCCAAACTTCCCTGCGGAGCAGAAGTGTCTGGTGTGCATTACTGTGCATCCTCCTTTTGAATTGAAAGCACGAAAGTGTCCCCAAATCATCTCTTTGAGGCAGGTGCTCCTATTTATGTACAGTGCTGAGCACACTAAGGCCTGAGTTCTGTGTTACTGTGGTACGGGCGAGAAGAAAATCATCCTCTGTGGGGAGACCCCGCAGCGTTGTGTTGTGGTGGGAGCCTCGGTGTTGACCTTTCCCCATGACATCCAGCCGTATGACGTTAACGGCTTTGCCTTTCGGTTTGTAGTCTGTGTCTGAGCAGTCGATCTCCAGTCCTGTTGTCTGGGCTAAAAGAATCCTCCTTTGACGTCTCGCTGTCTGGGTTCTGTGATTGCAGGGACCCCCCACGGCAGAGGGGTGCTGACTGCAGCCCGTTTCCCATCTCGTTGGTGCCTCTCCATACTGGAAGACGGGAGGGGTGGCTGAGATAAGCGATGTTCTCGTGTTGGTGGTCTGCAGCGCGAGATGTTTGGTCCGGTTCAGTTGTGTTGCTGACCAGCAGGTTTGACAACACTTCTGCTCTCTCTGCTAATTTTCAGAGCCTGAAATCTCAGTGGTAGATGAGAACTGATTGTGCAACGTCAAAATTAGCCGAGAGAGCCTGTGGAGGCAGAAAAGGGGGGTCCTTGGTCTTCAGCTGGCCTTCTTGCTTAGGCTCAGCGAGGGGGTGCCGAGGCCAGCAGCAAGCTCTGGAACGGGCTTCCCTGCATACCTCCGGGGTGTAGTTAATGAAAACAGAGTGGGAACAGGTAAAGCACATCCTGTCTTTGTGAGATCCTGTCTGGGAGTTGCCTCAAGTGGAAGGAACTGTTTGTTTGACCTGTGCCATGGAAACTCTCCTGGTTTGGGTAGGTGGATAGGTAGCTGCGGATCACAGCGAAGTGACGCGTGTTTGGGAAGCAGTAACTGAGAGTGAACTCTCTCCTCCGAGTGACATTACGCTCCTGTCCCCGGGCGGTGATGAAAGGCAGCATGTTTAAGGGAAGCTTGTAATGTTGACGTGCGTGTTTCCTCCTTCCAGGGGTAGGAGCACGTTGAGGCGCTGCAGTGGTTATTGACAGCGACTGAAATAAGGAAGGGAATGTTGCGTGCTGGCTGTGCATGTTTTCCCCAACCCAGAAAAGGTGGGGAGAGCCCAGTGAAGCGTGTTTTCATGTTCTGTCTGATGCTTCAGAAAGATTGAGCCACAAAGCTCCCAACTCTTCAGGCTACGTCTGGGATGATTGCTAGAGAAGACGGTGAGAAGAGGGCTTGTGGCGGACTGAGTGAAGCAGGGTGGAAAGTGCGGTAGGAAGGAAAGGAGGAGCGCAGTGCTTCAAGAAGAAAGTGCTGGAAGAAGAGGAAATTGGAGTGAAACTTTACAGGGCCTTAACCGAAGAAAAGGAGACTCAGACTGAAAGAAATGGAAGGTAGTAGCAGTCGCGTTTGCAAACGTCCTGAGGGAAAGAATTCAAAATGAAAGGAAGCCCCCAGAAACGGAGGTGAGGGCGGATAGAAGCACCCCCTCGTGCGAGTGGAGGTAAACCCTTGAAACTGGGGAAGGGTGCTCTGGAGGTGGCTGAGCAGAGTGGAGCTGGGAAAATACCCGGAGAAGGGGGTGCTAGGATTGGAAAAACATGTGGAATTCCCAAGGGAGAGGGAAAGGGGAGTCACCGGTGACACACGCTCGGCAGAGCTTGATTGGGGCAGGAAGGAGTAGGGCTGAGTTGAGGGCAGGTCCAGAGGAGCTGGGAGGAGGGAGCTGCTGGGCTGGAAGTGGCAGAGGGAAAGGAATCCGAGGCAGCAGAGCAGCCTGTCTGTGCCTCAGGTAAGCGAGCCGAGCTGGGGACCCATTTGAGCAGGGAATTCTGTGAGTGGCCTTTGTGGATGGGGACAAAGTGTCCAGAGAGACAAAGGGTATGGAGAGAAGGGAGGCGTTGATAGACCAGAGGTAGACAGGTTGCAGGGCTGCAGAAGGGGAAGGCTGGGGGAGAAGGCGCGTATTTGGGAGAATTGTTGTGAACGTGGCCTGAATCGGCATAATTGGTGGGAAGTCAGGGTGGATTTTGCTTGTGTTTCTCCTGGACACGAAGGTGAATGGCAAGGATAGTCAGAATGAGGTAAGTCACGTAGTTTAGACCAAAGAAAAGAGAAAAAGATACCTTGAATAGTGCACAGCAGAGATCTCGGCACGCCGTGCTGCGCCCTCGGTGGCTTCAGCCAGGTGGATGTCTGGGGCTGGTGGCTCCAGAGGGGCTCAGTGTACGATGGGGCTGGAGGAGGACGTCCCCGATCTGCGTGTGGCTCCAGAGCTGGGTGGGATGGGCTCAGCAGCCTTTTGTAGGTGTGGTGGGTTGTGGAGTTATTCTTGGGCGAAGGCGTCAAGGAGCCGGGGATTATATTTGCATTGCGTCTTGCTTGGCTGTCACTAATGACAGCGCTTGGGATTTCTCCCCCACATGTAGTGCTTGTTCAGGTAGACTGTCCCATCAGCAATTACCTCCACTCGTACACTCTTTATTTGACGAGGAGCTCGCTCCTGCGCTGCCTGGCGTTCACCTCTGCACTGAGCTGAGCTGGCACGCAGACCTTTGCAAAGGCGCAGCACACCAAATCGCCCCGTGCGAAGGGTCAGAGCGCTTGAGTTCGTGCCCCGGTCTGCGGGTGGAAGAGCTGAGGCAGAACCCAGCAGGATCTGCTCAGGGCAGTTGCTTGGGCTTCAGGGGCGACCTTGATCGAGGAGCACACTGCGCTGTGTGAGGGAAGGGGTGAAGAAGGTCTGTGGAGGAGGAGTACTACAGGAAAAAAATCCTTCAGTTTGGCAGTATCTGTTTGAGTTTGAGGTGTGGCTTTGTTTTTGCGGCGGAGCCTTTCAAAGGGCTGGAGTGTTCTGTTACAGCAGCCAAGCATGTTAGCAGATTGCTTCTGCTAAAGTAATTATCAGTGAAGTCATGTTTAAACTTCCGAGTAACCTATCCCTAGAATTGCTGTGTCGCAGCAGCAGCTAGCTCAGGCGACGAGTGCTTCCCTCCCTGGGTGATGGCGCGACAGGGCTCAGCTTTGTGGAGTGTTGGGCTTTCTCCCAGATCGCATGTGTCGGGACTTGTGCTTGCCTCTCGCCAAGGCTGAGCATCGTACGTGGCAGGGTAGAGCGAGGCTGGGGAGCTGCTGCTCTGCGGGGAGCCGGCGCCTGCCGGGGAGAACAGCTCTCTAATGAGAGCTGCTACCAGGTGAAACCAGAGCTTTCCCCAGCTGGGTTGGAAGCGTCAGTCCAGCGTTGTGCTGGGCATTCTCTCTGTCACAAGGGCAAAACAACTTGGCTTGAGGAGTTGCACTCTGTTTCTGCAAAGGAAGAGCTGCTCTGCAGTGGGAGCAGTTCCTTCATTAGTCAGCCCAAGTGACTGACGCCTCGTTTTGTGACTGAACCGATTTAATTGTGATATATTCTTGTCATTAAATGCGCCTTTAATTTTGTGCCACAGTTCTCTCAACCTTCATGAGTGTTTAGTCAGCACTAGCTACTTTTCTGTCCACCCTGAAGAAAAACCTTGGAGAGGCAGAAGAGGGGAAGTCTGGAAGGAGAGAGCGAATGAATCGCCAGGGTGCTGGACTTGGACCTGCAGTGCAAAGGAGGCCTCGTGGCGAAACAGGGAGGCAGGGAAGCGGAGACCGGGTGACAAGTCGAGGAGCGGTTGCTGTAGCAGTAACAGTCGGTGCAATATAACCGGTGTCTGGCTCATCCCTGAGCTGTTGTGGGCTCTTGGGTGGTTGGGATGGGTTGGAGCCTCCTGCTTCCATCTTTGGAGAGGTTTGGTTTTCTGTGGCACTCCACCTGCATGATCAGCCAAGCATGGCACGTTCCCAGGGGCACCCTAAAGCAGTCAGGGCTACCTAGTGAGAGCCCAGCTCTCTTCCGTCCAGAGCTGCGGGTCCCTCCTCCAGTCCAGGGGCTGGTGTTTTCCACAGGCCTCTCCCGTCTCCTGTCCTCCGGGGGTAAAGGGACAAGATTCCTGGCTGGCTTGTCCTCCCGCAGTCCCCATCCTCACATCAAGTCTCCAAGCCTCCGATCAGCCCCTTCACCTCAAGGGAGCGGGCGTTCTCCAGTGTTCAGGCTTGAGCGGTAACTGCAGAAGGGCATTGGGCAAGAAGTCGTAGGGTCCCTCATCTTATTCGGGGTTCGGCGTGGATTCCTCGGGTGACTTCCAACGGGTTGGGTGGCTCGGCTGTCTGCCACAAACGGTGTGGGGCCTTGGGGTGGGACGGGAGGCTGCAGCTTTGCTCCCTTGGCTAAC